CACACACACACACACACACACACACACACACACACACACACACACACTAATGCTGAAGGGTAAATATTATAGAACTTGGGTAGAGGTTTGTTTGTTGGGGCTCGTGTGTGTGTGTGTGTGTCTGAATGCGTTTGGTTGTGCGTCTCCTCTTGGTTCTATTTCCTCTGCTGTGCTCAGGTCTCTGTTGCAAAAGAGATCTCGATCTCAACAGCCGTGCTTCTGTTTAATTGTTCAAGCAAATCTTAAGCAAACTTTTAAAATGCTGCTGCAGCAAAAACAAGTTGGCCATTAGAGAGAATGCAGGTTTAAGGCACTTCAGCATTGGCTGATTTCTCAGAGGTTGCACCTACGAAAGAAAATGGAAAGCGGTCGACAGTAGTTTGTTTCTATTGGGAAAGTTGTAATGTCAGCTAGGAGATGCCATGCATCATGCTGTCCGCAGACGAGCATTCACGCGGTAATATCCGAAAAGACTCCGAAAGCAGAAACCAGCCGATCAGTCACGTGAGCTAAATCTTCGCTATTGAGGAAATTTGTCATTTACATACCGCTGTTCAAATGAGATTCTTTAACAAGTGCAGAAAAATGTGTGCGAATGCAAAAGCGGCTGACAATAAATAAGTCAACATCTACACATGCACAGAGAGCCATTCTCCAGACACCACCTTACCTCGGTTAGCCTCCTGGTACACCTGCACCTTGCCAAGCTCCACCCCTAACCGCCTGAGAGAGGGACGGAGAGAGTAAGCAGCATATCATTATCTCAATAACAAGAGAAAATACATGATAAAAACGCTTCAGACATCTGTTGTTACATTCTCTCCCTGTTAACTGTTCACATGCTGCGTTTCATTTCACGTCTCTCTCACACAGAGACTGGAATTCAGTGTCTGACCCTAATCTGCTCCATTTGTTCTGTAAACATGCACCGCTGGAGTCCAGGAGTGGATTCCAAGTGCGTTTCTGCACTTTGGATGAACGCTCTGTTTACACACAACACGATGAAATACGAACGTTGCTGCAACTCATCCTGCAACTGTGATTGTTGTTTCTCAGCAGGCTGCAGATGGAGAGATCAGCTCGGAATGAATTTGCATCGACTTCATATTCTTTTTGCTGCAGGGACAATTTTGAGAACGTCCAGGCAGTCGCCATTCTGACTGTTAAAGACAACATGTCGCTGCTCTTTGGGGGAACCGGTATTTCACTTGGATCACTCAATTCTTTGATGCCTTTTTAGAACAGATTAAATACACCTAGAGGTTCTTCTGTAACTGCTTATGTGGAGTTACTCACCTCCCTGAACTCAAATAATTTTTTTTATTGAATATGTTTTAGTTCTAGGTGGAGCACTGTGTAGTATGTAATATTAAAGTACTTTCTGACAGCATTATTGTTATTTAACACCCTTATTTTGTAAATATTTTAGGTTTTCACTGTGCTTTTTATGCAAGATTTGACCAGATTTAACAAGCATGGAGAGCATTAGTCTAAGTAACCGTATTACTAAACAGTGTTGACACAAGCAGAACCAGCAAAGGACCCATATGGTTTATTTATTCTAGTGTGTGTGTGTGTGTGTGTGTGCGTGTGTGCGTGCGTGCATCTCTCACTCACTCTGAAATCCTCTTGCCCATCTCACGGCTGGCGGGGTGCGAGTTGGCGGTGAAGATGACCAGGCCGCCCTTGGTGTGGTTCATGTCTCGGGGGTCCTGGCCGCTGCTCTCCCCGCACTCATGCAGTGGATCCCTGGGCACCCACGCTGCGCTGAGCCCTTCCTGCAGTGGAGAAATGGGAGGGGAGCGGTTTACTTAATTTATTAAAAAAAAAAAAAAAAGCAACTCTGGAAACTCTTGAGTAGAGGAGGAGCAGGAAAGGTGTCTCAGTTAGTCCCTGAGAAGTTGTTTTTCATAAAAAGCAGCTTTTTCCAGATAGAAGTATAACTAATACTTAAATACCTCTGTTTCCTTACAGTAGTTATAAATCGTATTACTGCCAACTGGCGCTCTGCTGAAGCCGTTCTTCATCCTTCTCGGCAGTGTTGGAGTTACAAACGAGCACAAACTGAGGCATGACGTTCTTTAAGAAGAGTCAAATCCAAGTACCTCAGAATGTGACTTCTTCATGAACGTCCTGCACACAGCAAGGAGGAATTCTCCATTTGGACTGAATGACAGCATTGTGTTGCCACACACTGCTGCAGCTGTGTCCCCTCATTTTGAATTAAACATAGAGCCAAAGAACATCTCAATTGTCAATTTTTAAAATCGATAGTATTGGGGGGGGGGGGGTGTCTACATTTCCCTCCCCAATATATTGTGTGCCTCGTCTTAATCCCGGAGGTCAGTATGGCTTTCATCTTGCGACAAAAATAATAAAAATCCTGACCAAATGTGAAGAATTTGCAATAGTTTTTATCAATTTCCACTTTAAAAAAAAAAAAAAAAAAAAAAAAGCTTGAAAAATGACTGTATATGTCCACTCAAACCAGTTATAGGATAGTTGAAGCTATGGTTGTTAATGTCGTTCAAAACATTTGGTATAATTGTTGAATATTACATTAATTAAATACTTTGACAAGGGTACCTATAGCAAGACTGTAATGAGCCAGTCCAACCTAGCTGCCTGTCTACCTACCTGCGTGCGTGCGTGCGCGCACTCATTGCGCGTCCCCGGAGTCTGCCACAAGCTTGCTAGCTGCGAGTACCGACAACAGCCATGTTCGCTGTTAACAGTTCGTTACGATATGTCTGCGTCCCTAGAGATAATTTTAAGGGGGAGCGGCTTTGGAAGGAGGCCCGAAGGGATGAGCCGCCAGTGTTGATAACTTTGCCGCTAGATTTAGCGACTTTTGGAGCTCGTGCCACCAGCTACTTTCATTGGAAAAAAGTTGGCAACACTGGGCTGGGTACTTTAAAAAAATAGCATACTCTTGCTAGTTTCTCAACTTGAACTGCTTCAACGCAGCTCTGACTGAACTTCCACCGTCAACAATATTATACAAATCTACTTCATTTTATTCATCTTTCACAAACGTTCCTTTTTATGCATGCTACTTCTCTATTTACAAATGTGTTGCTTTACTTTCTATTTTAGTTTTGACTATTTCTTTACTCATTTTAAGTTACTTAAGGTCTTAATATACAGGCTACCTTAGGAGGTAAAAGGTTTTAGTGCTTGTTGAGACGCAACACGGAGCAAACAAAAGGCTGGGCTGCAAACAGATGCCATGTAACCATGTGCAACCAGAATATGCGCAATAACTGGTGGGGAATCATTATGTACTATATTATATTAAATATGTGTAGAATTGCTACGTTTCTTTTTTGGGGGGGGGGCAATGACGTTTAATGGGCTCACTCGGTATTTTAACAGAAGGAACAAATCGTTCTTTCCAACCATCAACACAGTCACGACATTAGCTTCCTCGTGTTGCTAAGCTAGCTGGACAACCAGGATCTGTCCGTGACGTTGTTGTGGGCTGTTCGAGAACGGTTGTGTTAGGAAGCCAACCCGTGTGCTGTAGTTGTAGTCACAATGCCCGTTGTATGAATGCAGAAAGTCTATACGTTGTTTTATTGATGTAACGTCAGCTAATATTTAAATGTTTGTCTGTGACACCATGAGATAACGTTAGCTAACGGTAAGACACGAGTACTACCGCGATAGCTCGCTAGGAATAATCTTGCCGTGTCAAAGCTCTTGAATGCGCGCATTGATTTGTCATGCACCAGAAAGTCTGTCCGTGTAGCGAGCAGAACAATAGAACAACGACTACTAACTGAAACAAAGCACAACAATACTCACCAGTTTGCGTGTTGGGTCCGGTTACAATCTGCAACCAACAGTATTTGAATATACAAGCCTCTTGCTCTTTTCAACCTGTTCCCCCTCAGTCCGACTGCTCGCGATCTTCTGTAGAAGCGCAGCTCGGCCAATCACAGGCAGGCAGATGGAAACGGCGATTTTGTGATGTATTCAAGTACTCTGTAGAAACCCGTAAATAAATAATATTTTTCACAGAGAATAATTCGTTATCGTCAGTACAGATTCCAGTGAGGTCCAAGGCCGTCACTTAATTACTTAATTACTATTATTTAATTTTTATTTTGTGTACCCCCCCCCCATCACAAATCAAATAGAAACCCAAATTACCAATAACATCCACTGTCACATGGAGGTTTGTTTACGTAGTGTTCGAAGATTGTGAACTCAACCTTCTCATCTTTCAAAAAGTGAAAAGGTACCAAAAATATTGGTAATCTGTGCTGTGCCACAAAGTGTTTTGTTTTATATATTTTTTACTTTCTTTTCTTGTATCATATAATATGCCGATGTACTGACTGTGGTAATCTCCTCAAATACAACTTGGTATAACAGCACACAATGCATATTTCAACCACTGGTTCACATTAAAATGTAACTCAAAAATACATGTTTTTTTACTTGTCACGTGAATCAATCGGGTTAACAACAAAGACTTAAACTGAAAGTCCTGAGAGGTGCATGCTTTGTGACAGGCCACATGAGGGCAGTGTGTATTTCTGTATGCATCCTCGCCTCAGCTCTAGTTAAATGAAGGGACTCTCGAGTTTGAAGTAAACAGTTTCATGTGTAGTGTTAGCCTGATGTGTTACTATTTCCTTTAACCGCACACTAAACGACTATTCTGATCCCCTTATTGATTAGATACCAACATGCAGTTGGGATGAATCACTCTAGAAAGAAGATCTTCTGGTGTGAAGCGGAAAGAGGTGGCATTGATTAATCTCACTCAGGTATGAGAATATTACACACAATGCTTGTATACATGCATTTGAGCAGTTCAAAGATTAAAGTTGCACTCGTCATTTAAAGCATTGCAGGTTGTCGTGTTTTTCTTTATCTCAAACAGTCCCTGCCTTGTTTCATGTTTGTTTTGATCATGTGATAATGTTGTATGTGTGCATGTGAACATGCCATGCACTCATTTCTCCTAGAACCCAGAGAAAGTACAACACTAGTAAAGAATTCCACACCCCCGGATGTCAATAAGACACAGATAGAGAGATGGAGAACAGGACTCATTCTGAGTGTAATAAAGTGGCTCATGAATCCACAGTTTCCTCCCTTGGGCGTATATTGGAGTCGTGTCTTGAACCAACTGTTTCCCGTCTTAACGGTGCCAAAAGAAAGACTCTCAGAGAGAGGGTGGTGGGCGGTGCAGGTAATCTCTCAAAAAATGTCAGCGTTGACATATCAAGTGTTAGTATCACATTGAACGCGGGCGAGGGAGCTGCTTTTGCATTAACGGAGAGACAGATTTATAAATATGCTCTCACTACCATATGGGCTACTCTTACACTCTTACATAACTCACTGGATATGTGGAGGAGGCAGAGAGCAGCATCCGAGCACTGCACGCTGCCCACACACACACACAATGGAGAGGAGAGTGGAGTTTTAAAAAATCTGGAGGAGGTTGGAGAGAGAAAGAAGACAAGTTAGATAAAAGTCAGGGTCAAAAATCATTGTTTTGTGCTCTTCCTTCTCTACTTGTCGTATGCAGGGTATATGCAAACTATACAAGTTTGTGGAAATACTTAAAAAATGGCATTTAATATCCCACATATAAAAACCTATTATACTTTGATTAGTTACCTAGAAATAGAATCCAAAGGGAAAGTTAGTGAAATACTGTCATTCGCTTTCTTGCCGAGGGTTAGATGAGCAGATCGATACCACTCTCGCTACAGTAAATACGGTGCTACGGCTCGTTAGCTTAGCACAAAGATTGGGAACAGGGTGATATCCACCAATCAAGCTACCAGTCAATATTGACTTTGAAGCCGTTTGTTTTGAGCTGATTTGTTAGCTGACGTTCTTTTCTGCCAAGTGTGCTATCAGAAATATATCTCCGGTAGGAACGCTAATGTATTGTAGCCACGCTAGCTAAGTGGGTTTAGGGCTGGGAATGTGAGTCTCTCGTCCCACCACTTTGGTCCAGACTGAACTTTGTGTTCATTGCTATTTAGGAAATGCTAGCATGCTAAACGTGTGTGTGACAGCGAGTATGAAGCAGGTGGGCACCTCCGGCTCTATCGAGTGAAGCCGATGCAGAAGTGTCTTAAAAATTGCATTGACCAGCAGGGGGCGACTCCTCCGGTTGCAAAAAGAAGTCTGATTGTATAGAAATCTATGAGAAAATGACTCTACTTCTCTCTTGATTTATTACCTCAGTAAACATTGTAAACATGAGTTTATGGTCTCAATCTCTAGTTTCAAGTCTTCTTCAATACAGCATCATGTTCATTTAGTATATTATGGTCTATTTAGATATACCATAAAGCAGAGTACGCTTTAGGGCGGGGCTACTGTGATTGACAGGTCACTGCTGCTACCAGAGCTGTGTATGGCGTCACTACGTCACTCCTCTGCATTCCAAATATGGTAACTTCCGTTCATTGGTTGCTCATCAAAAACCTGCAAAACCATCAAACTCAGCTGTACTTGGTGTTCAGTGCTAATTAGAACATGCTGGCATACTTAAACGTGCACAGTTAGACTATTTGTCAGTGAATTAAATGCTACAACTCATAAAGACCAAAGCCAAGTGTGTCTTGCTTGCTACCTGTTGATAAAAAGAGAAGGGGATTAGCGCAAAGGTTCGCGACAACTTTAGCTTCGGGCTATTAACGGGGGACCAGCTGGTGTTATCTTTGTGACAAGTTGTTCCTCCGACTTTTGCTAGTAATCTTTTTTTTTTAAACTATTTAAATGACAGCATTCATCGTCAAATTTTTTTTTGTTTGTTTGTTTAACTTAATTATCAACATCTCTACTGCTATGTGCAGTATGATAGGTGATAACAAGGGGGGCCAGTTCTTTCTGGGGAACTAGGATTCCTAGCTACACCCCTGCTCCTGGAGGCCCACAAACCTGAAATCACTTTCTCTCAGACCAACTGTAACGGATTACATCTAACTCTGACATCACTTTGGAGGGGAAAAAAGGTATGATGCAAGTGGAGTTAAATACGGCCTAATAAAACTCTATGGAGCCATAAGAAGAACGCATTGATTATTCACTTTGTCTGTGCTTTCCTTGGAGGTGTAATACATCGCTTCTCTGTAAAGCGCGCGCGCGAGAGAGAGAGAGAGAGAGAGAGAGAGAGAGAGAGAGCCATAGAAACAGAGATGAAAAAAGAAACAGGAGGCGGGAGAGCACCGCGCTCCTGGTCCGCCCCCAAGTTGCAGCACGAGCCATTTACCGTTGCGAGCTGGGCCAGCTGTAGAGCGCGCGGGCGCGTGAACGTGCCCCCCACCCCCCCTCTCACTACCACTGCCCCCCACGCGGAGAAAACCATTACCAAATACAGAGCCCGAGCGCACGCGGAGCGATGGCTGCAGCAGCAGCAGCAGCAGCCGTGGATTGTGTTTACGACGCAGAGCACACGAGAGCGGCATTACCTTGGGAGGAACGGACACCGCGCGCACCCGTCTTTAAACGCACAATCCTTCATGCGCCGCGTCTGCTAGTGAGGCCGCTCGCTACATCAGTCCGTTTTTTTTAACGTCTCCTTCCCCTCAGCGAGGCTCGCTGCCTCCACGTTCGGTTAATCGTTTTTTATTTATTTTGGAGCGCAGCTACAAGGGAGACCGTTCAGCCTCCAGCCGTTATCACAGATGAGGAGCGCGAGCACACCGTGGAAACGGGGAGCCATTCATCTTTGCCTTTTAAATACTACGCACGCGACGCCTGCGCGCTGATACTGGAATCTCGAACGGGCCCAGTAGCCCCCTGGTCCAGTCCCCAAAACCGGTGGCGGTGCACTCAGCAGGGGAGGGAGAACCCGACAGCATCCCTCCATTCCCACCCAGTCTATCCTCCCTCTCTCGCGCTCCATCACATGCCAGAGCACTTGCGGGGTCTCATCTAAAGTCGGGGACCAGGGGGGAGGAGGAGGAGGAGGGAGGCTAACCGTTACGGCCGCGGCAGACGCAAACCTCGGCGCGGTGAGGCTGGGCTGAGGCTGCCGGTGTGTTCCGGAGGATGCTGCGGGAGTAAGAGTGGCCTCAGAGCGGAAGATGGGGAAGGACCAGGAACTGCTGCAGGCGGTGAAGACCGAGGACCTGCTCACCGTGCAGAAGCTGCTGCAGAGGCCCCGGCCAGGGAAAGCAAGTAAGGCACTGTATTCTGATCCGTCACAGCTGTGGTATCATATCTTAAAAAAAAAAAAACCTGCTCTCTGATGGTTTCGTGAGAGCAGGTAGTGAGGTGTTTCTCACATGTCTTTGCTGGCTGTTTTCTTGAAGTGTTAGGCCTAACATGATGAGGATTTGTGTGTGTGTGTGTATGTGTGTGTGTGTGTGTGTGTGTGTGTATGTGTGTGTGTGTGTGTGTGATGTGAGGGACCGAGATGGAGAGAGGAGGGGTCGTATGCATCAGGGTGTATCAGAGAAGATTAGTGGTGTGATTGGAGACTGACAGCCCATCTTGAGACCCCTGTGTGAGTGCACTGCAGCAGAGAGAGGGAGAGGGAGGGTGAGAGAGAGTGGTGTTTTATTTTTTTTGGATGTGTGACCCTGTCTCACCAGTGAGAGACGATGCCAGTGGCCTTGCGTTTGTTAGGGTTCAACGTCACATTCAATGGCAGAGCACGGATTGGGGACAACGTGGGCCGGTTTAACCTCGCATGCGTGTGTGTGTGTGTGTGTGTGTGTGTGTGTGTGTGTGCGGTAAAAATCTGTGTTCTCCTCTGGACCCCGGGTGAGGCTCTGCTCCCCTCTAATTGTTTATTTTCTGTAGGCGTACTTCCGCAGCCCACTCTAACGGGCAAGAGAGTGACGCCAGAGAGAGAGAGAGAGGGAGAGAGAGGTGCAGATACACCACTGTGTGTGGTTGGCTGCCATGCTGATACCTCCACTGATAGATAACTGGTCAACAGTCCGGC